CAGGTCTCGGCACCTCCCCAGGCCCTCCTTCTGGCCGGGACTGCCTGGTGGTTCTGAAGGCCCCTGCTAACCGTGCCACCCCAAGAGGCCTCTCCACCCTCAGTCTTTCGCCTACAGGGCGAGGGCAACAGACCCCATCCTGCTAGCTGCTTGGGCACAAGCCCTGCAGTTACCCTTTGCTCCTCCCTCTTGTGACCCATATCCAGTTTCTCAGCAAATTATGTTCTCTCTAAACCATCCAGAATCCAATCAAATGCTACTGCTTCTGCTGCCATTCTGCTCCAAGCCACAATCATCTCAGCTCATGGCTGACTCCCTCGTGTCCTTTAGTTCTGCTTAGTTTTCATCTCACTCTACTCCATGCAGTTCCTCCCCCAGACCAATGTGTGGCCAATCCCACTCTGTGCTTTTTCTCTCTATCACACCGATCTCTTTCCAGAGTACAGTATAATATAGCAACTTGTTTGTTTTCTGTTTCTTATCTCACCTGTCCTCTGTTCGTGCTCTGGTAAATATTAGGACATAACAAACTACTCCCAAACTTAAAGGCTTACTCAACCATCACTTTGCATGTATGCATTGAATCTGGATAGTTACTGGGGGTAAGCCTCATGTCTGTTCCACAAGGCCTCTTCTCAAGAAACTGCACCAACGGCTGGAAGAATGGGGTGGAGGAACCTGAGGAGTCTTAATCACACAAGGTTGGTTTTGGGCTGGCTTCCAGCCAGAACCACTCATCAGAGTCTGAAGGCAGTGCCTTGGTTCTTTTCCACATGGCTCTTGCTTCCTCACCACATGATGCCTGGGTATCCAGTGGAAGCTGTATCACCTCGTTTGACCTAGTCTCAAAAGTCAGTGTTCCCTTCTGCTCTGTGCCATTGGCCAAAGAAGCCACTGCCCAGTGCTACCTAGTTTCTAGAATGGGGTATGTAGGCACTGTCTCTTACTGGAGAGTGAATAGATTCTGAAAAGCAAGCAGGACAGTGTGCTAAAATTGGGTTTCCCCAAAACCCTAATTGCAAGAGTTGGCAGGGAAAGAGAAGTTTCCAAATGAGGGCGCAACCTCAGAGGGAGGGAAGATTCAACCAGGTCCTACAGGAGAACTCTAGAATGTAATTCCTACTCCAAGTGTGTCCCAGCATGAGGTAGAGGCGCTAGGATTTAGTAATGTTGCATTCTCCAAGGGGAGTTGGGGAGTCAATTCTGTTCTTGCAGGTAAAGCAGCCCCAGGATCCTGAGGAGCTCTCCTGCCCAAGAGCATCCTAAGAGCCTGTGCTCTCAGCAGCAGGAGCACATTGAGGCTGTGAAGGGGGCTCAGAGAACTGGAGTGGTACATCAACAGTGCCCACTGCATCCTGCCCGGAAGGAAGCTTCTTAATCAAGGACATCTCACACACTCACGTATCTGCAGTGCCCACCTGGAGTGTCAGTTCCCCACAGGTGATCACTAAACCTTGCTGAACTGAATGTCATCATCATCAAAGGAAATTTTTATTTTCTTGCTTCTGCTTTTTGTGCCTTGCTGCTGGAGGTCTTCTATATCTAAGATGATAAAAGTTTTCCTGTAGCCTCTAATACTTTTTATAGTCATTTTTCTTACATTACTTTATAATGCCCCTGGAGTTTTTTCCTTTGTGGAAATAGGCTTGGTAAAATATAATTTATATGCAGGGAATGTACAAATATGAAACATGGATATGTATACACCCATGTGGTCACCACCCAAATTGAGATCGAGAACTTCATAACTCTAGAGAATGTTCTCTTGTGCCTTTCCAAACAAGCACAGTCTCCCCAATAGAGGTACCTGCTACTCTGATTTTTGTCATGAGTGTATGCAAATGAATCCAAAGTCTCTGATTTGAGAACAAAGTATTGAAGTAACTTGAAATTGGAAGACAGACCCAAATCAGCCCGGTTGTGTTCTTTTACATGAAGCCGAACAAAGCTTAAAACGAATTAGGTTGGGACCACAAAACAAAGAGCAAAACAAGAGGGGTGACCAGAAGCCAAATGGGTCTGGTAAAGCTGACGGAGCAGGGGAAGCTTATTGCTCCCCCTTCCCCACTGACCCGGGATGGGGTCTGTGCGTGGTGGCAGAGTGGGGGCAAGGGTCGCTTCTGTCCGTGACCCAGCACCCTGCCGTGGAGAGGCCACCCCATCCCGGTGGCTCTGCAGTGGCCCCTCGGTCACAAATGAAAGTGCCCTCCCACGTCAGGGTCTGAGTCTGGGCTCTGCTTCCTGTCTACACTGGGCAGAGCTTAAACCTATACCACGCTCTGTTGTATAAAATAAGAACCAAATGAAGATAATGAAGTGACAAAAGGGAATGAAATTTAACACGAAGGGGAAAAGGACAAGTGGGAATCTGGAACCTCAAAGACATGAGTAACAGGGCTAGATCATTCGGAGCTGGGTGTTGAAAGATCCTGTGGCTTAGGTTTTGAGATCTCTGCTTCTCAGGCCAGTCCTCTGGGCTAACTTGCTCTTCTTTGGACCTGTGGATTTGTCTGCAGTGTGTGTATCAAGGAAAAGCGTTCATTGTCAGTGCCGGGGACGAGGAATTTAATGTGGCTTGTCTTAGTGCTTCTCAGCACCAGAATAACCCTGGATCTATTTTCTTTCTATGACCTTAGCCTGTTTCCTCCAAACTCAAGCCTGACACCCACCCCTGCTCTGGTTTTACCCACCTTGCTTCATGACATAGAGATGCCACTGACCCAGAGGCAAAGAGGCAGGGAGAGAGGGGAGAGGCAGATCTAGGGCTACTGGTTTTCTGTTACTAGTGTATGTTTATGATGTGTAATAGTTAAAATTTAAGAATTGGTGCATTGTATATATCATATCTTGATCATTCAATGCCTTTTTCCCTCTCTCCTCCCCTTTCCCTCAACCCCCTTCCCTACCTCCAAAAAGTCTGCCTTCCGTTTCATACCATCTCTCCTTTGTTTCACTCTTTATTTATATTTTGGGTTTCTTATATTTAAAAAACTATGCAATATTTAACTTTCCATGTCTGGCTTATTTCATTTCACATGGTCTCAAGATTCATCTGTTTTCCTGCAAATGCCATGATTTCATTCTTTTTTATGGCTCAAAGACCTGGATATAAAACCAGAAACACTGAATCTGCTGGAAGATAAAACAGGTAAAACACTTGATGTCACAGGCAGAAGCACTAATATCAAGAATCAGCCCATGGGACTACATCAAACTAAAAAGCTTCCGCACAACAAAGGATACAATCAACACAGTGAAGCAACAACCTACAGAATGGGAAAATATTTTTCCATCTTTTCTGATAGAGGACTAATATGTAGAATATATAAAGAATTTAAAAAATGAACCTCACCACCCCCAAAACAAAGAGCTATTGCTCCTTCATGTTAATAATGATGAAAGTTATGTTATTCCTGGTATCAAGGTGAGTAGTTGATTTTACTGCCGATTATCAAAGCTAGTTAATTACTGAACAATGAAAAAAGATGCCCAACGTGGTTTGGCTGAGCAGAAGCAGTACCAGTTACAAGCACTGTTCAAATGTAGCAAAATAATACTCGTAGGTCATCACACATATGTCCAATGATTTGTTGTACTTTTCTTTTTCTTTTTTTTCTTTCTTTTTTAAATTTGTTTTTGTTTTTGTGAGACAGGGTCTCGCTGTGTACTTCAGGCTGGCCTTGACTCGCTTATGTAGCCCAGGCTAGCCTTGAACTCGAGGCAATCCTCCTGCCTCAGCCTCATGAGCCACCATGCCCAGCAATTTGTTGTACTTGAAAGCAGTAATTAAGCCTATTTTGAAATACTCAGCTTTCTAAATGTGTCATTCATTATATCAGATGTCATCACTGAAATAAAAGAGAACTTAAGCAATGATTCATTCTTAAAAGACTTATTAATGCCAAAAGTGAAACAATGAAAGCACAGTGAATGTGAAAAATCAGTGTAACTGTGGGTACAGAGATTATATGAATGGAGGCTGAGGAAATCATTAAGAGGAGAAAGGCAGGCCCGACGGGAGTCCTCAGCCTGGTCTTGGGTGCAGTAATGCAGCTGATCCATGCTCCAGGGTAAAGTGGCCCAAACAACACCACCAACAGGATTGCTTTGTGCCTTCATAGCTGGATTGTATGCTGGACCAGAGGGCTCCACCCTTTCAAGGAAATCTTAGAAGCATCCCGGGCTGGTGACCTTCCCGACTTGAAAGCTTGAGAGCCTTCTCCTCTGTCCTGCACTGGAAATAAAACAAAAAGGATCTACAGAAAACAAGGCAGGGCTAATGCTGCATTGCCCTGTTGTTCCAGTAATTCTTAAATCTTTCAGGAAAGTGTCCACTGCACAGACATGGTAGAGACATGCCATGTGCCCATGACACTGAATGGTCTCTGCTGTCATTTCTGACCAAACATCAAGCTCTTGTTCAGAAATGCAGCCTTGTCTTACATACACATCACTTGTCTCCACCAGAAAGCAATTTGGCTGCCATCACGGTGCCTTTCTCAGGGTCCTATGTTGCTATTGGCTCAAAAACTACCTGTACTTTGTTTCCCTGAACTGTTGTCCTTTTGTGTAGCCATCTTTCAGTAGTTTTAGCAAAGCAAGACATAAATGCTTTACACCCTGGAAATGAAGGGTGATGTCATCTGTTAAAAATAATTTATTCTGGGGTGAAAGAGGAAAGGACAGTAGGGAAAGGGGGAAAATGCAAGTCAGTTATACTATCAGTGTCTCTTAGATCATTACAAAGATTTGTGCTAATATCAATTGGAGAAATTTTTATGCCCCTATCTTGTACCCTGAGCTACTACTTTAAAGATAACAGCATGTAATGTATTAACTATTGTTAGTCTCCTATTATTTTGTTATAAAATTTTGTTTCATCTTTTTATTCTGAGTCCTATCACCATCTATTAATATAGAGAGTGCCTATTCAGAGCATCCTATTTTTAATTAATCACAACCAAGCAGGTCACATGAGCTCACATGTATATTGCTTCATGCCACAAATACATTCTCGGAAATGTTTTGCAGAAAGGGAAGTCTTTCATTTTTTCTTTTTTTCCAATTGAATGACATTTCAATACGGATGTAATTTCAGTGGTAGCTTTTAATCTGGTGTGGCTCATGATCCTTGGAGCTACAACTTTGCTGCACTAGCTGCTGCAGTGCAGAAAATGCAGTGCAGAGATTGAAAGGGCAATGTCCCACACAGGGACATTACCATTCATGGTAACTAGCACTCTGCAGCCCTGGTTTTTTGCCTGAGATTCTGCAACTCTTGGTCACTCACCTGGGGAAGAAGGTAGCTCCCCACAGGCTCAAGCCTATGTGTGCTGACGTGGAGCTGGCCCTGCAGTGGGAGAGCAGGGCACCCTCTCCTTGCTCTGTCCAGTTTCACCAAAGGCCCTGAACTCAGCTTAAAGTATTTGGCAATTATCTTCTACTTTGCCGCACAAAGAAAATGATGTCCCCAAAACCTGCTGCTTCGAAAGTCAAAGAGACTTCCTGTATGGTCTGAAACACCAAGACCTTGGTATTCACTTACCTTTGGGGCAGTTTGATCCTGAAGCCCTAGAGCGAAGCCTACAACTACCCAACTACACTGACTGTCAGAGAGCTGTTTATTGGATCCATCCTCACATATAAGACACAGTCCTGGTCAGAACGGTGTGTTAGTATGTGTTTAGTCATTCAAATATGTATTCTGGCTCTAAGTGCTCAGGAGAATTACAAAGGGGTATTAAATAAAACTCCATGCCCAACTGAGACCTTCATTCTGGGTCTCCTGGGTCGCAATCCCCCCATTACAAAGTGGGAATGTTTGTACTCTCAGGACCTAGTTATTTCTCAAACACAAGGGAAAAATTAGCTGGGAAGCCTGAGAGTGGAATTCATTGTCAGTGTTTTTTCTGGTCATCTCTCCCTATCATTTTCATCCACAATTGTATAGCCACATATGACATATCCTTCCAGAGGTAGTAAAACTCCTTCTGCCAGCATTAGTTAGCTCACAGACAGAAAAATACCTTAACTGCATAGGAGACTATGTAGTCCAGCATGGATTTAAGACTGGTTATCAAGGGGGCCCGGGACATTCTCTGCCTTCTCCCTCTGGCCAGACTGTCATCTCCATGGAGGAGCCCCGGGTAATCATGATTATAGAGGAAAAAGAAAATAGCCTGTTGCTGGACACTGGTGCTAGTCTCTTGGTCCTTCTTTTCAATCCTGGCCTTCCTTCCAGCCATCACACCTCAGTGAAAGGAGTCACTGGTGAGGAGGTAATATGCTATTTTTGACAACCCTTAGCCTGTAACTACTTGTTAGATCTTTCTTGGGTATCTCTGTCTTCCTGAGAAACCACTTTGAAGATACCACCATGTATTACAGCAGCCATTGATATTTTCCTATAATCTGTCCATAGCTCTGTAATGTTTCTATTGTTCCTATGCTATTTTGTAAATGGATGTATGTTTATTACTGTGTGTTTCCTACAACAACCATTGAGAATAGTCAATGATTATTCAATTGGTCACTCATGTGTAGCTCTATTTATTTTCTTTAGAAACCACTTTGAAGATACCAAAGTATAGGACAACAACCATTGATAATCTTCTTTTGTCTGTAACTCACTATTATTTGTCTATTTGTTTTCCTGAGAAAATATCTTGTAGATAACAATATGTAAAACAACAACCATTGATAATTTCCTACCACTTTGTCTGTACTTCGGTAAGCCCTCCTCTTACTATGTTATCCTTCTTTTATTCTTTAAAATTAAAAAAAAAGACTGGAGGCATTGTAACTCCTGATGTTAAAGCTGCAGTTAAATATTGTACAAAGAAACCCTCCTTGGGGGGTTTACCTTCCAAGTGCATACCTTCCAAGTATCAAATCACCTGCTCAGATTCCTATGACCAGGACCAGAGATGATGGCTAGATTTACCCAATTGACTGATTTTGCCGAATCTTAAGAAGCAGTGTGAAAGAGTGGAATGAACTTGCAACCGGTAGCCTGGACAACTCTTAAGTTTGACTCTGTGTCTCAGCTCTATGAGTGATCTTGGGCAATTTGTTCCCTTCTCTGGCTCTCAGTTTTCTCTTCATCACAGGAGAAGCTCAGTCACTGCCATCCTAGCTTTTGGGAAGAGATGATATTGTGGAGTTCCTTGCAATACCCAATGGGTCAATGTCTGCTCAGGTTGACTTGTGAAAGCAGAAGTCTGCTAACTCTGAGGAGCCAGAACATCTTGAATACAGGATGTCATGTCAACAGGAGCAGAGATGGGCCTTAAGGGAAAAACAAGGGAGCTCCCTAGGGAACAATCAGATAAAAATCAATTATTCAGCCGAACAGTCACCATGCTTTGCTACCTGCCTTGGTAACCTAAAACAAACATCTGCACTCAGCAGAACTGTATGCCTTTGTTGTTCCTCAATAAAACTGGGGGTTTGAGTCAGTTAGGGCTACATTTTGGTAGGACCCCCTGACCTTCCTCAAAGAAATTCTCTGTCTCTCACAATGTCACTTGTCTGTCAGGGTTTGCTGGCCCGAATCTGGCATGATACGATGTATGTGAAAGCATGTTAGGAAAAGCCCAATAGCAACAGAATAGGCAGCATAAACACAATGTCATTAAAGCCACTAGAGTCATCTGGTATGCTCATCATGGAGCTAGAATCTATTGCCCACCAGGTGCATTGTATCTCTTTGGCAACAAAAATGGTGGTCTGATAGAGTCTTTGGAGTACAAAGTGTAGATTCTTCCACCATCACTAGGCTTGAGCTTCTCAACTGCACCTTCAAGGGCTGTGACAAGATGTTCTCCATGGATTCCTTTGCTAGGACAGTTTATAACCCCAATTAAAGCACAAGAGACAGGACAGAATTTCAGGTATTGGGGGCAAATGATGCTATTCTGGTGGTACCACTACTGACTCCAATGTTTACTCCAAATACTCTACTTGAGAGATTTTAACAGGTTGTTTAGAAAAATGGTCTCCCAAGTCTTGTTTTTATTGTTCTTATCCTGCCTGGATGAATGGCATTTTTTTTACATCTCCGTCTGTGGCTGTGGAACCCTCCATCTCTCCCTTTTTGTGATTGTGGAGCCAATTGCAAGAATCCTTGAGGCTGGAGATATGAACCTGTGCCAAAGGCTTCAGAGGTGGGGCTGGGAGGGCAGGGACTGGACTTCCTCAGATCCTTCTCTAGGAAGAAACTGCCCCTTCTTCTCTCCATTCAATGCATAAAGGGGTCCTCTGTCCTAAGGGTTCTTGCCTAAACCATGGAAATGACACATTCTTGATTTTAACCTGTGTTGATCATCGGGGATTTTAGTGAAAACAAAACAAAACAAAATGAAACAAACAACCCTGCAAATTGAGCCCCAGGCTTCCACATTTCACACTGCCAAAGCCCTTACCTCTCACACTTTGGATTGCCTCTCATCTGTCCACTCCTGCTTAGTGCTCTGAAGAGCCTGGGTCTTCTGCTCGTCCACTTGGACATAGTCTACTCTTTGCTCTTCTGAAAGGAGAAGTTTCTGAAGTGGGAGCAGAAAAAGGCTTTCATTACATCCAATTTAAAAATTTAGTAAATGCTTGCATTGTGGTAGACTACATTGTCATTAATTATTTACTATCCCTTTCTCCCTGCAGAAACATGTGTGAGTGAGTGAGTGTGTGTGAGTGTGTGTGTGTGTGTGTGTGTGTGTGTGTGTGTGTGTGTGTGTGTGTGAATGTTAAAAAGAAAATAAGTGTCCTGGGATTCTATGATCTCCTTTTTCCCCTACCAGGAGCACTGGACTGAAGATGCACTTCTCATGAGAAACAACTGACCTCTGTTATAGTGAGCAGCTGAGATTTGGAGTTGTTTGTCTTGAGGGTACAGTCTACTGAAACTGATTAATGTTCCTCTGGACTTGTTATTCCCGCCCTTCTGACCACCTTATCTTGAGTCTCAGTAAAGAAGTAGGAGTTAATTCAACAAAATAGGAGGGAAATCTTCCAGAGGCATTTCTACACAGTACCCCACCCCCACAAATGCATGAACAGAATCAGACTATACTTTCTATTTTGTGAGCTGCTTTTTTTTCCCACCAAACAATACATTGTTAGACAGTTTGGGTTATGACTGTCCCTTGCTCAAAATTGTCATCTAAGCACTTACCATTCATTCACTTATTCATCCCATGCCTACATTGCAAAGTCTGTGATATTTGTTAAAGGCTAGGATCACATGAGTATTAATTCAATCAACCCTCACATGGCCCTTGATTAGATGTTATTATTTATAATCCCTACCTTACAGATGAAAATACTACCAAAATGAGTTGAAAATGCCCAACCTGGCATTCAAGGGGTTCTACTCCAACTTGGAGCTCCTTTTACCACTCCATAAAGTCTAGCCAGACTAGGCTGTAAGCTAGTCTTTAAACAGGACTTTCCCATGCCTGAAGAGCCTGGTGCCCACCTTCATCACCATCTGAAAAATTTTCTATTACCTTTTTGGGTCCAAATTTTGAAGTGTTAATATAATATCTATCTACACACATGCATCCAAAGAACATACTCTAAAGGAAATACATCAGGATCTCATTCATTCTGAGAGGCAGGATTAGGGCTGATTTTAATACTGTTCATGATACAGGTCTGTATTTCTAAGGACTCCTGAAGAGGATACACATGGGTTGATAATCAGAAAAGTCTAAGCAGAAATGAAATCACCTGGAAATTCTCAGGCACAAAATCCTTCCTACCTGCTGTGTGGGGACTGGTGATGCTGAATTGAAGTCTAGGGCCAAATAATCCAGGCTGAATTTCTTTGTCCAGGGAAAAGCACCACTGTTCAGGGAGTTGGCTGCCCGATACTCCTCCTAGGATCAAACATCACAGGACTCTGCTTAATCATATCTATCCAAAAAGGTGAACAAATCTCAATACAGAAATACAAGAAACATGAAAAAAATAAGGCAATTTGACTCAAATATTTATTACTTCCATAGTAATTGGTTACAATGACATCAAAGTGGATGAAATACCAAATAATTCAAAAGAATGATTCTGAAAATGATCAACAAACTCAAAGAAGACACAAAGAATGGAAGAAAGGTAATACAAGATATAAAAGAACATTATCAATAAAGAATTAGAGATTCTGGAAACAAACAGAAATCTTGGAAATAAGAAGTTCAATAAGCCAAATACAAAATTCCATAGAAAACCCCACCAGCAGGCATGAACAAACACAAGACAAATGCTCAGGGTATAAAGATAAAGCCAAGACTTCAGGTTGCACACTAGTCTGGGTGACCATTACCCAGCAGCCGGGGGGAACATGAACTGGCTCCCCATGCCCCATGGTTATTGCAAGGCACACATTAGTCTGGGTCACCATCAGCCAGCCATCCAGAGAACTTGGACTGATGCAGACATTGTGAGTTGCACCTGAGATCAGGGAGTCATTACCCAGCCACCAGGGGAACACGGACTGGTGTGCCGTGCCTCGAGGTTATTGCGGGTCACACATTAGTGTGGGTCACCATTACCCAGCCACTGGGGGAACTCACACTGGTGGCCCACGCCCCGTGGTTATTGCAGGATGTACATTAGTCTGGGTCGCTATCAGCCAGCCATCTGGGAACTTGGACCAACATGCTGCACTCTGTGGACATCGTGAGTCGTGCCTGAGTTCAGGGTGCCATTACCCTGTCATCGGGGGAACTTGGACTAGTGCCCTGCATTCCACGGACATTGTGGATCATGTCTGAATCTCTGGAAGCCCAGGGAGCCCTTAATCATCTGCCTGGGGAACTTACACAGGTGTTCCAAGTCCCACTGACATTATCAGTTGTGCTCGAGGCCCTGAAGAGACAGATACACCCCATCAGCTGCCTGAGACCCTGATCCAGCACCACACATTCCACACACACTGTGGGTCAGCCTAAGGCCCAGGGGTCCTCAGACAACTGCCTGGGGACCCTGTCTCAAAGGCCAGCACTCTGTTGCCACTGGGGTACTCATCTGAGCTGGGCATTCCAGAAACTGCCTGGGGATCTTGGACCTGGTGGGACACCTCCTGCTGCCATTGTGGGGCAATCCTGACAGCCAGGGAATCTAAGGGCCCTAGAGACCTTCTGGTGAGCTTCCCAGAGAGGGTAAGTCCCAGCACTTCACCTCCGACATCCACAATGACAAGACGAAGGACCAAAATGCAAACTCAGAACTCCACCCCAACCAGAACAAGTCCAGGAGCTATCAGAAGAACTCAGAAGTCACACACCTGAAATCTCTGAAATGATCACAACTGAAGTAAAGAAACAATTCCATAAAGGCCATAGAAGAAATCAGATCAGAAATAACCTCTCAGTTAAAAAATGAAATGACAACAATAATGAAAGAATTGCTCACTACATCTAAAGAGGACATATATGAAAATAGACAAGCATCGGAGCTGGGGATTTAGCTCAGCGGCACAGAGCCTGCCTTGCAAGCGCAACATTGTGAGTTCAATTCCTGGTACCGGAAAAAAACAAAAAACAAAAAAACAAAAAAAATAAAAAAATAAAAGAAATTTAAAAAAAAAGGAAAATAGACAAGCATAGAAAAATAATAGAAATGTTAACTGAACAATATAGGAAAGAACTAGAATGCATGAAACAAATTCATACAGATATCCAGGAAATCAAAACCTCCATTGAAAGCTGGCAAAACCACTTGAATGAAACCAAAGATAGACTTTCAGATCTTGAAGACAGCATTGCAGCTAATGATCGTGAAAGGAAAGATCTCTTAAAAAATACAACCAGGAAATAACAATTCAATAGTTACAAGGTGATGCAAAGAGAAACAATGTAAGACTGATAGGCATCAATGAAACAGCAGGAGTCAACAGAAATGACATAAGAAGACTATTTGCAGAACTAATAGCATAAAATTTCCCAAGTATGGAAAAAGAATCTGCCATACAGAGGTAAGTGAGGCATATAGAACTCCAACAAGCCATAACCAAAATAAAACTACACCCAGACATGTAATAATCAGGATCCCAGAAATCCAGCAGAAGGATAGAATATTAAAAACTGTTAGCGAAAAGAAACAGATCACCTATAAAGGAAAGCCCATCAGAATCACATCAGATTTCTCAACACAAGGGGCTGGGGACTTAGCTCAGTGGCACAGCACTTGCCTGGCAAGCGCAAGGTCATGAGTTCAATTCCTGGTACTGGAAAAAAAACAAAAGACAAAACAAAACAAAACAAAACAAAACAAAAACAGATTTCTCAACACAAATCATCAAATCAAGAAGAGCTTGGAGTGAAGTATTTCAGGTTCTAAAACAAAACAACTTCCAACCTAGACTGTTGGATCCTGCAAAACTATCCTTCAAATTTAATGGAGAAATAAAATACTTCCATGACAAAGAACAACTGAAAAACTGCATGAGCACCAAACCAACCCTACAAAGCGTACTAAAAGATGTTCTAGAAAGAAACAAAAATGACTGCAATTTCAAAAAAAAAAACCAATAGAAAAGAACCACCTAGCAGAGAAAGCAATTAAACAGAGAGTAAAAGTAGCAAGTAAATAACATGACAAAGAAAAGCCAACACATAACAGTTATAACCATTAATGTAAACAGCCTCAATTCACCAATCAAAAGAAGCAGACTGGCAGAGTGGATCAAGAAACAAAATCCAACAATGTGCTTTATACAAGAACACATTTAACTCAAAAGGAAATTCATAGACTGAAAGTCAAAGTTTGGAAAACAATTCTCCATGTGACAGGAACCCAGAAAAAAGCAGGGGTAGATATCCTGATTGCAGACAATGTTCACTTCAAACCAAGAGCAATCAAAAGACATACAGAAGGTCACTACATACTTGTTAGGGGGAAACATCAAGAGGAAGAGATAACAATCATAAATACGTATGCACCCAATACAGGAGCACCCAAATATATAAGACAAACTGTAATAGACATGAAAGCTATTAACGCTATTGTAATGGGGGAACTTAATACCCCATTGACACAAAGAGAAAGGTTAAATGGACCAAAAAATCAGCAAAGAAATAGCAGAACTGAACAAAACTTATGAACAAATGGACTTAGTAGATGATTACAAAGTGTTTCACCCCACAACATCAGAATACACATTCTTCTCAGCTGCACATGGGACATTCTCTAAAATACAACACATACTAGCCCACAGAATGTGCTCAACTAAATGCAAAGGAATTGAAATTATCCCATGCATACTATCTGACCACAGTGCAATGAAATGGGAAATTAATGACAAAAGGAACCACAAATCTGCATAAACACATGGATGTTAAATAACAGCCTCCTGAACAACTAATGGGTCACAGATGAAGTTAAAGAAGAAATTAAACAGTATCTAAACAAATGAAAATGTAAATACAATTTACCAGAATCTGTGAGATGCAATGAAAGCAGTCCACGGAGAGAAGTTTATAGTGGTAAACTCATACATGAGGAAAACAGAATGAGAATGAATAAATAGCCTAATGCTGCACCTCAAACTTATAGAAAAAGAACAAGTCAAGCCCAAAGCCCAAAGAAGAGAGGAAATTATAAAGATCAGGGCAGAAATTAGTGCAATTGAGACAAAGAAAACACTACAGAGAATTAATGAATGAAAGAGTTGGTTCTTTGAAAGAATAAATATAATTCATAAACCCCTAGCCAACCTTATAAAAAAAAGGAAAGAAAAAACTCAAATTTATGCCATAAGGAATGAAAAGGGTAAAATCCTATAGAAATTCAAAAGATCATCAATACATACTTTGAAAATCTTTACTCCCATAGGATGGAAAATACAGAAGAAATGGACAGATTCCTAGATAAGTATGAATTACCAAAGTTGAATCAAGAAGAAATAAAAATCCTGAATAACCCAATATAAATTATTGAAATTGAAAATGTGATTAAAAACCTACCAACAAAGAGAAGCCCAGATCTGATGGATTCACAGCTGAATTCTACAAGAAATTCAGAGAAGATTTAATGCCAATTCTTCTCAAACTCTTCAACAAAATTGAAAAGGAAGCAGTTCTCCCTAAGTAATTTCCAGAGGCAAGTATTATACTGATACCCAAACCAGAGAAAGACCCAAGAAAGAGAACTACAGGCCAATCTCCCTAATGAAGATAAATGCAAAGATACTCAATAAAATATTAGCAAATAGAATTCAGCAAATCATCAAGAAGATTATATACCATGACCAAGTGTGATTCATCCCAGGGATGCAGGGATGGTTCAACAAACATGAATCAATTAATGTAACACAACACATTAACATAGCCAAAGACAAAAACCACATATGATCACCTCAATAGAAGTAGAAAAAGCTTTTGACAAAGTCCAGTTCATTCATGATAAAAACCCTACAGAAAATAGGTATAGATGGTCTGTATCTCAATCTGATCAAAGCCATCTATGATAAACTAACAGCCAACATCACACTAAATGGACAGAAACTGAACGCTTTCTCTTGAAAACCAGGAACAAGACAAGGATGCCCACTGTCACCACTCCTATTCAACATAGTTCTGGAAACATTAGCTAGAGCAATTAGACAAGAGAGAGATATAAAAGCATAAGGATAGGAAAGGAAGAAGTGAAATTATCATTATTCGCAGATAACATGATACTCTGCATGGAAGACCCCAAAAACTCCACCAAAAGACTTCTAGAATTAATCAACAGATTCAGTAGCACAGCTGGATACAAAGTCAATACTCAAAAATCAATAGCATTTCTATACGCTAACAACAAACACACTGAGAGAGAAATTAAGGAAACCATACCTTTCAAAATAGCATCCAAAAATTGAAATACTTAGGAATCAATC